ATGAATTATATTTTAGACGGGATTCCAGCCCAAGATCTGTCACCCGTTAGACAGATAAGCTACTAGTTATATCATGACTAGAGAGGAAGGGTAGCAATACAGAAAGTGAAAATTCCTTATATATTCTCAGAATTTTACTAACCATAACAAAAGGAGCGTCTTCAGAAAGCAAATGAAAAATAAATTAATCCAAGATAAGTGTGAAAAGTACTATTTTGCTGTGAAAAATGAACATGGCTCAACATATGCTTGCTATGGCAAAAACTATTCATGGAAATTCATTAAAAAAGGTGGAACCTTGGTCGTTGTTATATTACAAAACACAGGTCATTTAGTGACAATTTTTTTCCTCGTTTTTTAAGAAGAACAGAAAAATAAACTTCTCTATTTAAATCTTTGCAACAACAACAAATTATAACGTCGGTGGCGATTCCCAAGACACAGCGACGACAAGAGAATCATAAAACATTCTTTTACATAGTTGGCAAATATATGAAACCATTCCCTAAAATCGTGAAAGAATGCTTAATCAATGCTTCCAAAGTACATAAAATTGATAAATTTTTGTAACGAATATCAAATAATTACGCAAATTAAAACATTCAGTCCCTCAAATTCTACCGGTGTTAGGATAAAATAAAATATTACAAAACGCATTTCTGATCACATACGAAAATTTGTAAAGTAATACACATTTTAGATTGGCCTTTGATTTTAGCACAGACATTTCAGCAACGTCGCAACGTTCGATTATCGTCAGTTAATGCATTAAATAGAATTTAATTCTAAAGGTTTTTCTAAAATTTCTTCCAATAAAGAATCAAATCAGAGGCGATGATTACTTCGATATTATTAGAACATTAAAAAGAATTACACTGCTAGCCATCCAAAATGCAGCACCAAGAAGGAATCATCCAAACAGTTTGAAACTTGCAGTATATGCATACCGCAATGTAATAAGCAAATGAATTACGATTTCAGCGCTCAACGCACATCATGAGCGATTGCAGCGCTCCTTACAATGCGTATACAAAGGAAGGAGAGTCTGCCGTTTTGAATGACATGAAACATGAATTTTTTTCTCGTAAGACATTTTGCGTGTGCAGCTTCAATAAGCCACATAGAGAAACATGAGCATCATTCGAGCACGTTTCTGAGTTCGACCGAATCGTTAAATCGAAGAATCGTTGCATACCAAATTGCGGATCAACCGTCTGGGAAATCGGTCATCGTGTCGGACGTAGCCAAGCAATAGTCATGCGTATGTGAATGGATGCAGGAGGGAATGACTGACGGACAGGAACAATTGCAACCGTCTCGTCGCTCTACTCCATAGGAAGACAGGTATATTGTGCGCATGGCACTGATGGAGCGTGCTGCTATATTCGCATCATATCACAATGCATGCAGTCTATAACACGACCATCGGTGTCTGCAATGTCGTAAAATATTTCTTCATTAAATTACCAAAGTAAGGAAAAGGACAGTTTCTTACCTTGTCTTCTTGATAATGTCTTGATAATGCCCAGCATCATCATAGGCTTGATTAATTCATAAAGAGATTGTACACGAAATTTTAAACGAACACATTTATTTTATACATAATAATAATTAAATAAAATTCATTAGATTTTTCATTCATAGTAATTAGTCAATATGAGTTTTAACACTGTCCTTACAGGTCCATATGAAGGAGTGAGAAGACAGGAAAGTAAAAGCGTGTCACTCAGTTAACTATTCCGCAGCGCACCCAGATTACATCGTCTATCGCTCTATTGGCGACTGTTCATCACTGCAGACCATCACCCCTACTTGATGGACAGCATATCCATCTGCAGTAATTCTTGAAGTCTATCGAAGACAGGCTTGCCTAGTGGTTTGGTTAGCAAGTCTGAGATCAAATCGGAGCTTCTGCAGTAGTCTACCCTTAGGATGACGTTTTGTTGAAGTTCACGCAAGTAGTGGTATTTGACGTCTATATGTTTTGTTCTGGAACTATTTTTCTGTGATTGTGAAAGGATTGTGAAAGTCTGATGCATGACTTGTTATCTTCAGAGACAGTAGTCTGTAGATTTTGTTCCAATCCTAAATCTTCAAGTAAATTTAAGAGCCAGTGTGCTTTTTTAGCTGTATTAGCTGCTGCAACAGCTACTTCAGCTACAGCTGCTTCAGCTACAGATAATGCAATGCAGTTTTGTCTTTTGCTGCTCCATGCAATACAGTTGTTTCCTCGTTTGAATATGTATCCGCCAATGGATTTCTGGTTGTTCTGTCATTTCCCCATTTTGCATCTGAATATGCAGTTAGTATAGGTTCTTGAATTTTGTTAAATACCAACTTCAAGTGTATAGTTGTATTTAAGTATCGAATGATCTTTTTGACAGCATTTCAATCTATTTTTCGAGGTTTTTTTACTCAGTAGATTTTCCCGCGTAATGCTGGCGGGGGCGCTCCAACAACCAAATTTACTTCCAGGCTTATAGAACCACACCTCATGGTGGTCTCAGTTCGCGGCTCCGTCGACCTGTTTAGCCATGAGGAATGAGAGAACTTTTTAATCCGTCGCCCGTTAAGTGTAGGACGAGGCGGCGGTGTAGCTGAGATATTTTTTAGTTCTCAAGTGGGCACCTTTGTCTGATGACCACCTCCTCCCTAATACGGAGGCATCAAGGGGTTCAGACCCGGTAGTACGGCCATCTAGGATCTGTGGAACCGGTAAATTAATTGTGCGTACTCAGTAGACTGATGGCTCCTGCTATATCGTGCTTTTTTAGTTTTGATTATTAAACTATGAGGTATCTTATATCATACTGCAACCCGAGTAACACAGCAAACATACCTGTGTGAAGTTGGCGGGGGGATGAGTATTAAGGGTTTACAGTGTCAAAAACTGTGTCTGTTAACCTTCTGCGTCATGCTGCATTTTGTATTACATGTAAGTGAGAAATAATTAAGAAAGCAAACAATGATAGTAATCATAGAGCAATACAATAATCATTGCTTTTTTTTAACTATTAGAGTCTCCTTTTCCTTCTTTGGATTATTGGATGAACCGCTCCCTTTCGAACCAATATCATTTTATCTTTAAATTACAGTGCAAAAATGAATTTAAAATATGTGTTAATAGATATGTGATTGGTAAAGTTCTAAGTAACAGTAGGGTTTTTTTTTTTTTTTTTTTTTTTTTTTTTAATTTATTACGTGCTCCGCCCTTAGGCACTACACGGAAAGGGAGGGATGCCCCGTGGAGGTCTTTTTAAGGGAAACTGGCTCGTATCCACGTTACACATGGGAGAAACCACGAAAACGCCCATGCAGCCAGCCCGTTCGCCGGGACTCGAACCCCGGAACGAACTACCAGAGTTCAGCGGCTTTTACCGCTCGGCCGCTGGTGGGCCTAACAGTAGGCTTTGACCTACTATTCTAAGCAACAAGAAGCTATTAGTAGTTAAGTTCGGGAAAATCAGGCGGATTTTCGACAGTTTAGGAGGATTTTCGACAGTTTTAGGCGGATTTTCGACAGTTTAGGAGGATTTTCGGCAGTTTTAGGCGGATTTTCCACAGTGAATGGTCTAGTGATTAACCTATGTTACTGAAAGGTCAACTACATGTATGGTACGACAGTTATGCATAGTGGAACTATATATATATATATATATATATATATATATATATTTTTCTTAGCCCTACTTTAGTTTTCTATTTTATCTTAAAGAGAAAACTAAATTTTTCCTATTCCATTTTACTTACTTCTGTTTAGCACTTAAGGGTTCTTCTGTTTAGCACTTAATAAATACCGTATATTCCGCATGTAACGCGCACCGGTGTATAACGTCCACCTATAATTCCAAAGTATATTTTTTAATTTTTAGATATATTCCCGTATAACGCTCACTCTTCTCTTTCAGAAGAAACTTGAAAAGTACATGCATTCTTGTCTTTTGAAGTCATTGAGATTTTCCCTGGGCTTTTTCTACATAGTGAACTGACAAAAGATAAGGGGAATAATATATGTACGAGAGTGGGTTGTATTTAATGTAGGTGAGCACAAGAATGTTATTCTAGGGTTTCAAGAAAAAGAGGACATAATTTGAGGTAAGAACGCATTTTCGAGGCGAAAGAATTCGCGGACTGAAGAAGCATTTGCAAAAGGATGCCAAATGTATCATCATGCCGTCTAGAAATATTGTGTAAATGGATAATAAAGCATGGAATGAAATTAAAGCCGATATAATTCAAAAGACATTTAAAAAAGTGTAATATATCTCAAAATCTAAATGGAACTGAAGATGATTATTTATTTATGGAACAGAATAACAGTGATAGTGAAGACGAAAAAGAATTCGATGATGTGCCTGAAGATATCATGGAAGACGAATATGACAAACTTTTCATGTTATCCAATAATGAAAATTTTTAAGTTCATAAGGGATGTCATTTCTTTTAAATTAACAGCATTTAGTTAGTTGTAGAAATCTAATTTTTGTTCGTTCATATTTTTCTTAGTTTTAAACCTAACATTGTTATGTCCGGCTTATGACGCCCACACGTAAATTTCGATCTTAGTTTTCGTATTAAAGGTGTGCATTATACGTCGAAATATACACTAACAGGAAAAAGTTGAGAACTCAAAAACCATTTAGTAAAACTTCACGTGTTTCATAACGACATTATTGTAGTTCCAACTGTATAACGAACTCTTGTGGCAGAAGAAACGAAAACGTTAATTTCCCTATTGTAAAGATTCAGTGTAATAACAAAGCAAGGGTAAAAACAGTTCCAGGTGAACAGGTTATTTGGTGTGCCATCATCTGACCTAGGGTCATTTTCATGCATTTATATGGGTCAGAGAACTAGTCAGATTAAAGAAGAAACTAAATCTCGCTCTTCCTGTTCCATTCTCTTCTCTCTCAAAAGCGAAATAGAAGCATCTGTCAGAAATGAAGAGTGTTCCGCATTATTTATACTTGTGGGGATGTTCGCTGTATGTTCCGTACTCATGCAGAAAATCGTTCAAGAAATGGATAATTTTAGCAGTTTTTCTTTCATTAGCAGTCATCTCTGTAAGGATTTTATCGTCTCCTGGCGCCATCTATGAAAAGCACTTGGTAATAAACCGGAATGATGGTATGGCTTTTTTTTTTTTTTTTTTCTGTCTACTATGTAAATTTTATTAATTACTTATCTGCCGAAATCATCTACGATTTTAATTTTATCAAGTTTTTATATTTCCTAGTCTATTCCCATCCATTTAAGAAAATTATAATTACCATGGGAGAAAAAGCATATATAGTTTATTTTGACTACTCTCCAGTTTACACAGATTTATTAGTGCTGACATTTTTAAATCTTGCTGATACTATAATTGCTATCTCCTGCTCCAATAATCCTGAAAAGTGGCCATATCTGCATTGTTATCAATCTGTTCATTAATTAATCACATCATGCTCGCAAAATTTTAAACTTCTGTCGTGGATCTTTCCACGCGAAAATTAAAACTGCACTATAACTTAGCCTCTTATGCCAATGAGACTATTATTCTGTAAAATCTTTCCTATCCACTTTTTGCTTTAATGTTGTATTTATGTGTTAAAATAATCAAAAATACCAAAAAAACCCTATAAAATAAAAAAACAAAAAAAAAAAAAGTATAAAACCCAAAAACTTCCAAAAAAATAAAAACTCGTCATGTACTTGATTTTTTCTTATTCCTGAACTTTCTTGAGCTATTGTGGCTCCCTCTAGTTTGCATCAAGTCAACTATATTATGCAATTTTCCTATTTCTGCACACTAATTAGGTATTTTTCTGATGTGGAGGCACATGCATGTACCTGCGAAAAATGTTGAGAACCACTGCTTCAGAATGTCAGTATAACAAAATAAATCCAAAGTATTATTTAAAGCTTTAAAGTCAATTAACTTAACGATTTTAGTCGTAATCTACTGGTCCAGGAATTTTAAAGAAATTAGAAATGTCCAAAAAAGTCAACCAACAATAAATTATAATGCATTATTTATCTGTAATATTAATTATTTTTAAAATCATGTTCACTAGATTAGTAATTGAAACACATGAATTAATGTGTACTATGTAAATAAACATTTCATATTTAATTAGCAAATGTAATGGATAGCATATGGATAAATGAGTCACATTCAAGTATGCCTATTTTTTAATTGAAATAGTTTAATCTTAAAAACTGCATCCGTTTTTCAACTGCGATACTTTTCTTTATATTTTAAGTAAAGTGCAATGAAATATGAAAAATTAATAATTAATAATTGAATTAATAACGCAAAAGTTAATAACTAAATAGAAATATGTGAATTAACTCTAACCGCCATTTAAAAGATAGCCAGTTCAGTTTCTTTGTTTCTGACACATATTATGTGAATACGAACCATTTTCCCTCAAAACTTTCTCCACGAAGACGTCCCTCTATTTCGGCAAATAGCCCTCCCGTGATTTTCCATATTTAAATAATCTAATCTGACACATGTTGTAATTCTTGCTGATATAAAATTGGATCATTTTTTATTGAGCTTCAGTATATGTTCTTTTCACATTTATTTGAACGTTGCCAAAAATATTTAAAATTATTTTACTAGGCGGGCTCTCTATGAAGTTCACGTAACTATAGAGAGTTAAAAAATGAAGATGTCAATGTCAGTATCAAAATGCTCAAAAAGAAAAAGCATATTTGTTAATTAAAAATCTTTTTTTTTTTTTTTTTTTTTTTCAAATAATAAATACAAAAATCTTTTCTATGTTTTTTCTGGCAGTATATCTGCGCTGTGGTCTTTCTTCTGGAGATTCATCAGAGAAACTATAACTATACACACGAAATATAGGCTGTTACGCGAAACATAGATTGTATAATATGAAGATTACGGTGTTGTGTACCTCGATTTATAGTGACGTATCTTGCCGTATCTTGATGCACATATAGAATGCATGACATGCAGACTTTAACATTTTTTCCGCAGTCATATGACATAAAACACGTTCTTTTGTACTGTACGAAATAACAGTCTCTACTATAAAATAATGAAGAATCTGCGTGTGTGTATGTTCGTTCCTTGGACTGTGGTAAAATGGCGGTAAACACAGCCACCATATTTTGAACGTACGTGTAGTCCTTTTGATTAACAAACTCGTCGACTCAAAAGCAATATGCCCCCTTATTTTAGCCAAAGTCCCTGAGCCATTACATTTTTCAAATGGAAAAGGCTTGTTGCATGTGAATAAGCTATTTTAAATTCAATATTATTATGTGATGGTAACAGTGGATATAGTGAAGCGTCATCTACCTATAAAATTTGTAGCTAACTATTCATTTCATCAGTACCCACCAGCGGCAAAAGGGTAAAATTGCTGAACACTTGTAGTTTAACCAGGCTTTCAAATCCGATGATTGGGCTGGAGACATTGGATGTTTTCTTAGCTGTCTCCAAGCATAACACAAATACTTAAGAAGTCCTCCACGACAGCATTCCTTCCCACAGAAGAATAATCCTAAACGATTCATGCTTGTGATTCATTCGTATATTTACCCATTTATTACACAATTTTAAAATCTTTACAGAGCTTTCAAACTACATTGTATGTACTCTAATAAAGCACATATAATATTGAATAAAATTATAATATAATTTTCTTAATATTTTAAATGGTTTTATTCAAGATGACTAAAACGCTATTAAGGAAAGTTCTAAGAAACAAATACAAATTTATAAAAGCAATGAAAGATCGTTACGCTATATGAAATAAATTTAATATAAAATACTAATACGAGTATTCAGTACCTTAACCATCTCTTCAAACCAACTGGATAGTGCCATAGCTTCCATATTATTGTGCTACTGCTGTCTACTGCGTTAATTCTCATGTTAATTCTGCACATGGGTAAAAAGCTCAATTTTTTTTCATAAAAATGCGTAGACAGTTTTGCCGAGATAGTTGGTTTATTTCATGTTTATGTTTGGATAAGATCTCTCGTTTTTTAAGCACTACATCGCACACAAACAACCAAAAAGCACAAAAATCAAAACGGTCAGAACGTTCACAGTAAAAAGGGGAAAAAACTCAGTGTTTGCAAGGGTGGAGAAAAAACATTCGTTTCTCCCCTAAAATGGAAATCGAAACTTTTCTGGCACGCTTCCAACAAGAACTTAAACATAGGTGGGTGGCCTGTATATGACCACACACAAAAAGGTGTTCTTTAATGCCTAATAATATATATGTCAGCAGCAAATTTAAGAAGCAAAATGCTATCGTCCTCCTGAGCTTCTGCGAACGCTTTTAAGATACAGGCTATATTTAATATTTTTTTAACAATTCAGGGATACCTTGCGATTGGGACTTGTTTCACTCTATAAAACCGCCTCTGCATTCAGGAGGGTGGTAGCCTCAAACTGGAAGACCGCATGCGGCCACCAAAGCAATTTTACACGGCCCACGAATACATGTCAATTATGTACGTGTTGTAACTTATAGCTTTAGAGATATAGAATATACGCATTGAACTTATATGCGCGAATGCTGTTGAAGGTAAAAAAGGGCAGAATTAATAGGCTGAGGCTTTGTTACTTTGTGTTTCTATGACACACCACGTGATTAGGGTAAGGTGGAATATTACCCAATTTAGAGTAAGTAAATTTAGTGCGCCAGGTAAATTTGATGGCGCTTTATATCCTGATGTATCTAGTCTTTCCTACTGAATTGGTACGATTAATATGTAATTTCCTTGAGTGAGTCATCAAATGGTTAGCTGAACACTTAGCCGCGTAGTTTATATTATTATACGGGTGAAGAGAAAATATCGTATGGCTTATGAAACCCCTTTATTTGTGCCTGTAGTTCAAACCAGATTATGTCGATACTTATCATTTAGAATCATACATAACATTTGAGTGTTGCTTTCGTGTGAAAATTCATCTTGTTAAATTAAATTGCAAATAAAATTATATTTGATTTTAATTAAAGAAAAAAGAAAATCTGAAAGTTTTCAGATTTTAAATTACTTCCAAAGGGGCGTTTTTTTAGTATTTTGTGTGCCACCTTTATTTATTAAATATCATGTTTTTCGCACTTAACATTATACTTATTGTTTTTTTTTTTTTTTTTTTTTTTTTTTTTTTTTTTTCTGTACAACGTTGCCATTGCTCGCTTTGAAATCGTTGAGTTTGTTAATCAAAAATTCATTAAAGTTTTACAAAATATGAAATCGATAATGAAACAAATTTCCAATTCGGGCTTCCAGATGCCCATATTCGCAGTAGGATTACGTCATTCAAAACTGGATGGCTCTAGGTACCGTTGTTTTATTACAATGCGGGAAACCACACATACATTTATGCAGATTTTCCATTATTTAATTTCTTCAAATATAATACAGGGTAATCATATTTGATGGCAACAGTTTGAAAAGTGAAACGGACATTCAGAGTGAATCGACCCAAAATCGCAAAACGAAAACAATAGTCCCTCAGGAACAAAGCCCCTTTTGACTAAAAAAAAAAAAAAAAAATCTGAAAGGTTTTCAAATTTTACATTATGCCCAGAGAGACGTTTTTTAACGTTTCGTGTGTTATCTTTATTTATTAAATATCATGTTCTTCGCACTTAAACCATAAAATTCAATTCAACGGCAATATCGCAAAATAATTTTAAAAATTGAGTATATCTTTAGAATTCCCGATATAGTCTCGCGCGCTGGAGATAAAAGTATTTTATTTTTCCGTAAAGTGTTGCCATTCCTCGCTTTGAAATCGTTGAGTTTGTTAATCAAAAATTCGTTAAAGTGTTACAAAATATGAAATCGATAATAAAACAAATTCCAAATTAGGGGTTGCAGATGCTCATATTTCGTGGAGGATTACATTCTTCAAAATTTGATGGCTCTAGGTACCATCGTTTTATCACAATGCGAGAAACATACATACATTCATGCAGATTCTTCATTATTTAATTTCTTTAAATATAACACATTGCGATAATATTTGGGGACAACAATTTAAAAACTGAAACGGACATTTAAAGTTTTCGTCGCAAAATACTAAAACGAAATTAATAGCCCTTTTGGCTAACGCCATTTGGACTAATTAAACCACAAGAGATGTCTTTTAGACAAAGAAATAACAAAGAATAAAAGAAAAGCCGACGAAGAAGGGCGTGTGAAAGGCTTAGAATAAGAACAAAATTTTTACAAGAGCAAGTGAATCCAGTGAGGCAGCAGTTCATACATGTTTTACTCACGCGCACATCATTACAAAACGATAAAAATCTTTTGCGGATGGCGAATCACTTAAGAGAGTGTTTGATTAAGTCGGCTGATCTTTGTCCTGACAAGTAACACAAAAATATTGGTTATTCAGTATGGTAGTGATATGTATTAATGAAATCGCCAGTGATTTACGATATCAGTTAAAAGAAAAAATATATAAATGCTGCAGCTTTTGCAATAACAGTTAATGAAAGTACTAATATCATAAAAACAGCGCCCGCTACTATTTTCGTACAAGAAACTAATGATGAATTCGAAGTAATTGTATAAGTCTTGGAATAATTCCAAGAATGGTTTTCGTTTTTTGGCAACAGCTAACAAAATCAATAAGTAATCATAATACTAATAATGTTTGGCTGTTGGCAAAACTAAACAAAATCAATTGACTTTTCTTCCCTAGATGGAGGCTCCAATATTTTCAGGATGCTCACAAAATACAGCGGCTCCCGAAAGTGTTCAGACACTTTAAAAATTTGCAGAAAAGTGCATTTTAGTGACGTTTAAAAATCTCTTGGCTTTATTTTTTGCTTGCTTATGTCGCCATATTTTATTTAGTAATTAGAAATGGCTCGCATTCTTGAGAAAACAACAAATAGCAATCGAAAATTTAACATTTTTCCTCATAAAGGTGGAAAATCGATCCGGGATATCGCTAAATTAGTAAATTTATCCCATTCTACTGCGCAGTGTGTGATAAAACGTTATAAAAAATAAAATCGGATCCAAAATAAAGAAGTCATCCGGTAAACTTAACGTAATCAGAGATTTATAGTTAGAAAATGTGTGATAAATCCACGTTTGAATGCTGTAAAAATTTCTAAAATTTACAGAAAATGTTCAAATTCAATTTCACCTGAAACTTTTCTACGAGTGCTCAAATCAGCTGGATTATATGGGCTTTCTACTCGGAGAACATTTTTTGTAAAAGCAAAAAATAGAAAGCGTAGGCTCTCCTTTGCAAAATCATAAGCCCGAAGCATTCTTTGCAATCATTCCTTTGCAAATACGTAAGCCCAGAGCATATTGGAATCATGTCTTATTTGCAGATGAAAGCAAGTTTAACATTTTTGGTTCCGATGGGCGTATGGCAAAGAAAAAATGAAGAACTTAATCCCAAAACCTCACTGGAACAGTAAAGCAGAGTTTCTTAAACTGTGGGTCGCGATCCTCATGGGGGTCGCCAAAAATTTAGCAGTTTGGATATTTCTTTAACTTATTATTATAATTTTACAATTACCAAATATTTTTTATACAATGTAGCTGAAAATAGATAAAGATAAGACAACACAAACAAAGAAAAAACGTTTCGAAGCATTCTTTTTTAATATAAACGTTCATTTTCCTTGTTTTGCACGTGACGCTGTCATTTCGTCTGTTACTTATTTAAAATTTTCACATTGTTCTATGTCTTGAAATTAAAGTTAATGACCTAAAACTACAATAATATATTCCAATACAAATGAAAAAATTGACAGTTTCACTCACGCGTGTTTCGTATTTGCGCAATGTTTATTGTAAATATTATAGGTCCAGGGGTCACGAAAGAAATCTCAGTGATAAAAAGGAGTCGCGACTGAAAAAGGTTTAAGAAGCCTTGCAGTAAAGCATGGCGGTGGAGGTGTCCTTGTGTGTGGGTGCATTTCAGCATCAGAATTAGGTAATTTAGTATTTATTGCTGGCGTAATGAACCATGCTTTTTATTGAAAAATTTTAAAAGATAATTTAAAACTGTCCGCCTAAAATGGGTATTGGAAAGAACATTATTTTTTATCAGGATGACGATCCTAAACACGAGGCTCTTCTCGTTCGCCTTTGCTGTATCTATAATTGTCCACGGGTTCTGAAAACACCATCTCAGTCTCGAGATTAAAAAAAAAAGCTGCTGAACTCTATGCTTAGACGTCTGAAAAGCTGTCATAAATGCTACAGGATATCCTACAAAATACTGCAATATTTACTAATATGTGCAGATTTCTTTAAAGTGTACGAAGACTTTTGTGAAGTAACTTTTCTGTTGCTTTTTTATTACTGATTTTCCAAAAAGAGTTTTACTAAGTTCATAAAATAATTAATACAGTTTTGCTAATATAAATTTATAGATATTATTAAAAAAACTCCTATTTCTCAAATAGTAGTTTTATCAATGAATAAAGCAATATTTTCCTGAAATTCGTAAGTGTATGAACACTTTTGGGAGCCGCTGTACTACGCGTTTGACAGTTTCAAATGTCCTACATTCTGTTTAGTGTAAATTTGATGTTACTTTGATTATCGATTACTGATGTTACTTTGATTATCGATTACTGATGTTACTTTGATTATCGATTACTGATGTTACTTTGATTATCGAAACATGCACACAGATGCGGTCAGATTTTCACAAGTTTTTATTGTAGGTATAAGCACAATGGGTGATGATTTAGAAGTCAAGAAATCACGTTTTTTCGATCACTTGGGGATGCTGAAATCGAAAAAAGGAAAAAAATAATCACTTGTTTACAAGAAAAGAGTATAATTAGCCCAAAATGGCGTTAGCTGGAAAGGGCTATCAGTTTCGAAACGGAATTTCGCAGCGTATCACTTTTCAGACTGTTGCCATGAAATATTATAGCCCTGTATTACTTTTAAAGAAATGAAATAATGAAGAATCTGCATGAATGTATGTATCTTTCTCCCATTATGAAAAAAGGCTGGGGCCATCAAATTTTAAAAAAGTCCTCCACCCGAACAAGTACCTCTGTACAGACCGCATTTTGAAATTTGAATTTTATATTTCCCATTTTGAAAAACTTGAATGAATTTT